TATTAAACTACAGGTAATTTCAGACAAGCAATCAAATCTCTAATCACTAACTCGCAGAACTTGGATCCAATTATATCTGCCCACACTTTGTTGCCATGGAAATCCTCGTGGTAACCAAGGAGCTCGTTAGTAATCTCTCATTTTTATTCTAATGTATGTACACTACTTTGAAGATAATGCTTCTTAAAAAAAATACCCTGCATATATCCGCACGAATGTACCTCCCTGTGATTATGGGTAATCATACCTCCGCCGCTGCTCGGAGGTACCTGCATAATCCTTGTGGAAAATAATCACAATAAAGAACATTTTGCTAGTTATTACTGCGTCATTAGCACTAACTACTGCCAATTTGAAGCCTTCTGTGATTGTGCCAAACATCAGGGACATTTTTTCCAGAAAGAGGCTGACCAGCGAATTCAAGTTAAGTCTGAAATCTGGATTTGTTGGGAGAAGTTTAAAGGTTAATACCTGTCGGCAGCTGACACAGGCATTCGGAGATACAAATCAACATCAGGGCGTTTTCTTCCTGCGCACAGAGGCCCACATGTTTGTTTGGATTATGGCAAAAATAAATATCATGGGAGAGTCGGGGGAACAGTGGAGCCGCTGGTTCTGTTTGCAGCAGAAGTAGAAAAGACATGTCCTACAGTATATCATCCCTACTCACAATAACAACAGAAAGAAAGAATACAAAATGTAGTAGTTCATGTGTATAAGGGGTTGTTTTGCTGGACTGTTTACTGCATGCCTCAATCCTGCAAGCTCGCTAACATATAGAATTAAATGAGGATTGACAGCTACTAGCATATGAAATGCAGTGCTACAGAATCTTGCAGGATGTGAGAAATGAACAGCGAGTTTGTAGAGGGCAACAGGAAGCATGTTCAAAGCACAAAACTAGCATGTAGGAACTTTAAAAAAGGGGCTAAAAACCCTCTTTTTCTCGACACAAACATCAGACAACTAGTCTATTCCCCAACCAGGGTTCATACACTTTGATGTTCCATGACTTCTCCATGACCGTTACCTCATTTTCCATGACCAAGAAAGTTACTCTCAGCGGAACCACTGAAACATTTTTATTTTAACATGGAAAGCTGGAAAATTAGGTCTGCATATGAAACATGTTGTGCCTATCTAAAACAAATCAAAGAGTAGGCTTACTAGCTTCTACTAAAACCTCTCACCAGCAAAACACCTCGTCAGTTAAATGCCATTTTACGTTTCATTACGAAACGATACAGTATGTATTATCATTATAGTATTACTATTTCGGCGATTAAATAAAATATAAATTATGTTTGATGCAACTTTGGTTACATTTCCATGACTTTTCCAAAACGTTGGGAATAATATTGTTTTCCAAAACTTTTCCAGGGCCTGGAATTTGCATTTTTGAATTTCCATGACTTTTACCAGGTTTTTAATGACCGTAGGAACCCTGACCAACATATTCAAATTGAGACAAGACCGCTAGATGAACTCTGAGCTAACAGGGATGATTGATACTTTGGATATTTAGGATTTTCCATGCATCCCATTTGCAATTCGTCCACTTAAAGTCACATTAACGACCCGTTATGTTCATCTTGAAAGGTATAATAAAAGGTACAGAATTGACTATAGGTTACAAAGGACACCGGTAATCACAACGGATGATTTCTTATAAGTTTAGCCCAACATAATGCATGTCTGAATCATCCTGACGTGGTTAAACCCCCCCACATATGCTCTTCCTGGTGTTGACATGTAACAGACTGCACCTCAAGCAGGAACAGTGAATCCTTGAATTAAACAACCAAAGAAAATGAACATCAAATTCTTAATACTCTCAATATTTCTCAGTCAAACCCCAGGGACAAATCTTCCAGTGCATCGAGCGGTCCCGGATTATCCCGATGTGACAGCTTTCCAGCCAAAAATTCCTCCAGTTTATCATTTAAACGACAGCGGGGGACATTTATCTCCACGGCTTATCTTCTCAGCCATGCGTGCACGGCACTCTGGGTAATATTGCATTCAGCTCAGCTCTCTGGTGGTCCTCTCTATGTAAAAACCCTGTTGTCTCTTATCTGCTTTAGTTGGGGAAAGACTCTGATCCCTCATGAATGAAACAAAAGGGCGGCGAGCATCACAATCCGATCAATACGGAGGTCTTCTTGGCGAGTGGCACTCAAGACAAGTGCCAGGAATAAACCGGGGTGTAATCAGATGCACACGGCAACACAAAGTTCAATGACACAAGAAGCTTACAGAGCATTTCACTTGATTATCTGAATGAAAGTCTTCACAGCAAGAGAGGCCGCCTGCAGTTTTGTTTAAATCCAACATGATTGGTTGCTGCAGGGGAATCGTGTCTTTGTTTGTGGTCAGCTCTTTCAAAATGACTGCTGCTTGTTTCGGGGAAATCTACAAATGTATGACTGATTTTACACTTCTTCCCTCGGGCGGCAGTCTGTCACTGCTGATGTTGTTCATTACCGTTCGAACAGAGCGGCTGGGTGTTGAGTTGTTTTGTATTTTGAGCAATATTGAGCCCATTTATTTTACGTTATTGCGCCCAGGTATGTCAAGAGAATAGTGATTTTAAAGCGGTACTCAGGTGATTTAGTGCTGCAGTAGTGTTCCATAAAGTGGGGGAAAAGCAAGAGACAATAAAAAAAGAATGTATGCAGCAAAACACCAAGATATACACAAGACTTTGAGTCAGCGAAATATACAAAAAAACAGTGAAAAATCAAGACTTAAACAATGCTTTCTGTCTCTCTTTTTATGGTTTCCTCAGATCTGTTTCAGCACCACGGACAGCGCAGCACTTACACAACAAACACCATCAATCAATGTGCAAAAAAGTACATAAAAAATGGAGGATTGGTCGATGAAAGCAATACTTGACCAGATTCCAATTTTGTATACTTATTAGTGCCATTGAAATTAGCTTTTTGACAATGAGGTGCTTAATTTTTGAAATGTCATGTATGATATGTCAAATTTGTGGACCGCGCTTTTAAATATATGTAAATAAATCAAATATAAAGAAATGTTAAAACTCCCTTAACCCTTAGATGCTTAAGTGGGTCTTTTTGGACCCGGTGAGGTGGTTTTCTTAGAGTATCTTTGTAATTACATTTTTTTATCATTTCATATTCCAGCTAGTCCTCAAAAAACATGTTTTTGATATCATGCCACATTTTTTATTTACATTTTAAGAAATTGTAGTTTTGTATTTCTACCCCAAGCTTCCATAAGTGGGTCAAAAATGATCCGCATGCATTTTCTATGGAATTTCTCCAGATG